TATTATTATTATTATTATTATTATTATTATTATTATTATTATTATTATTATTATTATTATTTTGTTGTGATATTCTTTATGCCGTAGGTGCCATTGGGGAAAATGGGGTTACAGTGATGATAATAATAATAACAGCTTTGCTTGACTAGTAAGCAAAGGCTTGTGCAATACATTTTTCTCCAGAGGAATACAGCTGTGCCACATGTGGAACATGATGTGAAGCCAAGAAAGATGAAAATCAATTCCTTCCCCCTCACTATTGATGTATTTTCTGGACAAAATATATCCCATTTCCAGAAAGTTTTTTTGTCCACTTAAATTCCTAACTTTTTTTTTTAAGTATATGTTCTTTCTCTGCTTTCTGCGTGTGCTTTGCTATTCTGAGTTGCACGTTTTCCAGTTTGCCCGTCAAGTTAGATTTTTGGAAGTGGCCTTTATAATCTGAATTAATAATTTTCTGCTGCTTCTACTGGGGTTTGAAGCAACCTGCTTTTGACAGTTTGCTGGAAAGTCAGAAACAAAATAGATTCAGGAAAATCTCTTTCAGGCAATAATAGCGTGCTAAAGTTAGGAGCACTAAATCATATAAACACCCTGCGTATGCATAGTTTTAGCTTTTACTTTGGGTCATTCCTCTGTCTGGGAACCTGCATTGGGGCTGATCTGGAGATGACCGGTCAGCTGTTATGGTTTGTAAACGTTTTCCTACCTCGGTCGCTGTCCGATGTGTTTCCAGATTCAGATCGAAGCTCCCCGAATTCCAGGCTGTTGCAGCTTGAAGGCACCAGGCTGGGGAAAGCAACACACAAAGAGAACCAAACTGAACAGAATAACAGAGCTGAAAGGGACCTCGGAGGTCTTCTAGTCCAATCCCCTGCTTAAGCAGGAGATTCTATTCCAGTGGCTGTCCACTGGCTGTCCAGTCTTTTCTTAAAAGCCTAGTCCTTCTTTTCACTAGGCTATACATACCCAATTCCTGCAAAAGTCCTTCCTATGTTTTTAGCCTCCAGTCCCCTGATCATCTTTGTTGCTCTTCTCTGCACTCTTTCCAGAGTCTTAACATCTTTTTTTTTTATAATATGGTGATCAAAACTGGATGCAGTATTCTAAGTGTGGTCTTACTAAGGCTCTATAAAGTGGTATTAACACTTCATGTGATCTTGATTCAATCCCGCTGCACACGGCTGGCTCATGTTTAAGTGATTGTCCACTAGGACTCCAAGATCCCTCTCACAGTTTCTGCTATTGAACTTAATCTGTACTTGTATACTTGTTTTTTCTTGCCTTAGTGTAAAACCGTACTTTACATTGAATTTCATTTTTTGTAAGATAGGGCCCAGAAACTGGATTATTGGACAAGAAAGCATGCAAATGGTAGAACTGCACAGATCCCCAGAGTTTTGTTCCATCCTCACAATCCATGCATTGATGCTATGTATCATCTCCAGCGCGCGGCATCCCATTCCTGTGCCCTGGTTACCAGTACTTAGCAATACCATACTGCCCCACATCCTAAGACAACAAGCTCTCATTTGGCTGTGGTCAAGGATGCTGAATGCCAAGGCCCTCCCTAGTCACCAGGACAGTGCTCAGCCCGTCACAAGATTGAAACCCCAGAGGCCAGCTTGGAAAACAGCTACAGGCAATCCTCGACCACAGTTGAGCCCAACATTTCTATTGCTAAGCAAGACATCTGTTAAGTGAGTTTTAGCCCCATTTTATGACCTTTCGTGCCACAGTTGTTAAGTGAATCACTGCAGTTGTTAAGTTAGTAACATGGTAGTAAAGTGAATTTGCCTTCCCCGTTGACTTTCCCGGTCAGAAAGTCGCAAAAAACAATCACATGACCCCAGAATCCTGCAACCATCATAAATATGAGTCAGTTGCCAAGCATCTGAATTTTGATCATGTGACCAATGGGGATGCTGCAACGGTTGTAAGTGTGAAAAATGGTCATGAGTTACTTTTTTCAGTGCTGTTGTAATTTCGAACGGTCATTAAATGAACTGTTGTAAGTCGAGGACTGCCTGTATTCATTTAACCTCCACCAGTTTAAGCCTTAGAGCACCTGGAGAGAGGAAGGGTCCAGGGGGCCTTCTTGTGGCCTGACCCTTGGTGACCCCTCTGCCAAAACACCTGGTCTTGACCTGTTACTGGAAGAGGTGCCGCCTCTGCCCTGTATCAGCGGGGATGGAAAGATTCCCCTGGTCGCCACTGTGGTGCTGATATGCAAACTGTTAAACATATTGTGCAAGGCTGCCCATGACAACGTGCCTNTCAGCTGGAGAGCTGAACCGGACTCGGTTTTGAGGCCAACTGCCATGGCCCCATAGAGGTTTTACCCACAATTACGTGGACTGCGTATATGTATTTACTTCTCTCCTGGCATGTTCTCATCATACGCTAAATAATAAGTGCTACGTATCACGCAGACAGTCCTTGACTCACAACCTTTCTTCCAATGGCCATTCAGACTTCCGACAGTGCGGAAGACAGGGACTCCCCATTGATCCTCGCACCTGACCTTTACAGTATCCCCACCATCCCGTGAAAAAAAAAACTTGGGCGCAAGGCAAGCAATTATGTATTTAGGACAGGTGCAGTGTCCCAGGGTCATGGGACGGCCATTTGCCACCTTCCCAAGGGGCCTTCTGAAAGAAAGTCAATAGGGGAAGCGGAATTCACTGAACAACCACAGAAAAAAAAGATTGTAAAATGGGGCGGGACTCATTTGATGACCCATTGCTTAACTATAGAGATTCCAAAAACAATTGTCACGAGTCAAGGATTACCTGTGTTTTAACTGAATGAATGCAGACATACCAGGAATGGCGGCTGGAATTGGGGATGTCTAGTCTAGTGAAGAGAAGGACCAGGGGGTGACATGACAGCAGCCTTCCAATATCTCAGGGGCTGCCACAAAGAAGAGGGGGGTCAACTTGTTCTCCAAAGCACCTGAAGGCAGAACAAGAAGCAACGGATGGAAACTGATCAAGGAACTAAGGAAAAATTTTCTGACAGTGGAACAACCTGCCTCCAGAAGCTGTGAATGCTCCAACACTGGGAGTTTTTAAGAAGAGACTGGACAGCCATTTGTCTGAAATGGCATAGGGCAGGCATGTCAAACTCGCAACGTCATGTGACGTCGCATGACATATCGCAACTTTTCCCCCATTGCCGGCAATGGGGTGGGTGCGGTTTTGGCGTGATGCATCTGGCCCATGGGCCGGCAGTTTGACATGCCTGGTATAGGGTTTCCTGCCTGAGCAGGGGGTTGGACTACATGACCTCCAAGGTCCCTTCCAACTCTATTATTATTGTTATTACTATTATTATTATATTTAGTCAATTGAATATGCATGGTTTCTGTATTTAAATTACAATTTTTAATATATAGGTAGTCCTCAACTTACAACAGTTCATTTAATGACCAAAGTTACAACGGTACTGAAGAAAGTGACTTATGACCATTTTTCACACTTACGATCATTGCAGACACCCCCTGGTCACGTGATCAAAATTCAGACACTTGGCAACTGACTCATATTTGTGGCAATTTGCAGCGTCCCAGGGGGTCACGCGATCCCCTTTTGTGACCTTCTGCCAAGCAGAGTCAACGGGGAAGCCAGATTCACTTAACAACCGTGTTACTAACTGAACAACTGCGGTGATTCATTTAACAAATGCAGCAAGAAAGGTCATACAATGGGGGAAAACTTACTTAACAAATGTCTCTCTTACCAACAGAAATTTTAGCCTCAATTATGGTCGTAAGCCGAGGACTACCTGCATAATAATGGTGCTAGGTTTTATTTTGCTTGTCTAACCCTGAGCTCCTGCTACTCAGCTCCGCTCAGGACTAGCTTTCCATAAGCTCCAACGTGAAGTATTGAATGGCAGCCCTGTTTCCCGCCTCCTTCAGCCCCCCTGGATGTTCTTAGAGCCCTTTGAAACCTGAGACCCTCTAACTACTGTTCCCAGGGGAGGTTTGGCCCAAGGGGGATAATTATAGCTATGCAGGCCGTAGGTGTGGCTGGCTGGCCCTTTACGTACGGAGTTTGCATACATTTTTTTCTGAAGGAACCTCTAATTGAAAATGGGGGTGGGGGAGGGTGGGTGATTAACGGCTCCTGGAGCAAAAGGGGAGGCGGGTGCAAGAGTGCCAGTGGTTGGCTTTTATCTGAGGCTGGGCTCCCCCTGGATTGGCGGGAGCAGAGAGATTCAGATGGGGGTCTTCTCTCCCCTCATGCCGTTCTGGCGTTCGTTCGTGTGCCACTTCTCAGCTTTCGTGCCAGCAGCCCTTCCGTGCTTGTTGTCAACAAGGTTGTTTGCCAGAAGACGTGAGCACCTGGTGAGTCACCTTCCCACTCCCAAGCCCTGAGCCGCAAGCAGCAGTGAGGTGTGGCTCCAGGCAGGAGAAATTTCTGGATTGCAGGGCTTGTCGTCGTTCCGTCTCCCATACTTGGGTGTAAATCTTGCCTTTGCAGTTTGAAGAGTTTCTCCAGCGTTGTTTATGAAGTGAATCACTTTCTAATACCTCAGGACTTCTCACCAATAATGTGGGAAACGCTTAACAGGGGCTGAGTCAGTCGCTGCTGTTTCTGAATGTTCAGAGACTTTTTGAGTCACCCCCTCAGCCCTGATCTGAACCCTTGGGTGGAAACAGGCCCCTTCCAGTGGAAATGATCACAATGTTGGCAGAACGTGGATTGTTGCACGATAGTATAAAACTCCCCCAATGGCCTCTTGTCTGGAATTCAATCATGGAAAGGTGGTGTGGTGATATTTCTGAGGTCAGCCTCTTGTCATTTTATTTCTGGATTCCTGACCTGCTGTTGTAAACTATCCTGGTCCTTTGGGAAGATTTGGAGAAGAAAGGTGAATAAATCAACTTTGCTGGCCAGGGTAAAACTAAGAAATAAATTAGCTCAGGCTTGCTTTGCTTTCAAATGCTGGGCTGTGTTTTAAGCAACCTGGATCCAGATCCTGCCGGAACTGTGCATCGGACACTTTCTTGTCACAGCCAGTTTTGGATGAAATGAAATTGGAAAGAAGGGATGTCATGCGTTTGGTCCTGAATGTTGATGAAGAAACTCTCGTTGCTTTAGCAGTGTTTCTCGACTTTGGCAACTTTACGATGTGTGGACTTCAGCTCCCAGCCAGCATAGAATTCCCAGAATTCTGTGAGTTGAAATCCACACATCTTAAAGTTGCCAAGGTTGAGAAACACTGCTTTAAACTATTAACTCAAGTGGTAAGTCACATAATTAAAAAACAGCATTTTTAAACCCTCCCTTCCCTTTATAACTGGCATTCCAGGCCAGCAGTCAGATCTGCCATCACACCTGCTTCACTTTGATAGCAGCCTGCCATAAAATGTGGGGAATGGGGATAGGAGGATATTTGGGAAGGGGCATGACAGGACCCAGAAGTGCCAACCAGAGGCAACGGTTGAACGATCCAAGGATACAAGCCTATGAACAGAATGCAAACGCCCACCGAAGAGGCGCCAAATTGTGGAACTGTTATGAAAACACCCAATTTCAACCTTGTTGGACACCACCAAGAGGACCAATGGGGGAGGGTCTGAGAGAAGGGAAGATTACTGGGTTTACATGGGAAATCCTCAGATCTGGATTTGCTCCGCTGGAACCACTTGGCTTCAGTAAAAGTATACCTTTCACTACAAATGGAGTTGAGGATCTTTCTTTACGGAATGCCCCAGCAGGGACACGCTTGACACCAGCAATCCACCTCTTGAAAGGATGAAGGTTTCTTGCTGGGCCCGTATTTAATTTCCCTTCAATTCAAGTTCAGAAGATTGGGGGCTGCTGAGTCTCGTCTCCTGCATTGCCTTCTGATGGTGGCCTTGGCTTGTGGTGAGATTTGGCAGCCACTTCTGATTGAGAACAACAAAAACTGTTACCCTCCGGGTGGGAGACCTTAGAGAGCAGAAGGTTGCCTCGCGTGATCTTTTCCTAGCTAAATGTGGGGCTGAAGGATATTCTGTCTTCAGAGCAGAGATACACTTGCCTGGACAAGCTCGCTGTGCTCCGTAATCATATGGAGCAGCTCACAGAGGTCCTCGCTACTTGAGCTTAGGCAACACGGCATCCCAGATGGTAATTACTTGACAGTCACACTTTGCAGGTGATTCGCCAAGAAAAACCATTTAAAAATGTAGGTAAGAGACTCGTCCTGACTGCATCAGTTGTCCTGGAGCAACACCCTCCCCCTGCGCAAACAAAAGGCAATTTGGAGGAGAAGGTGGCCAGGTTATTATCCCTGGGAGCGCATGAGTGGACGTGGGCGTGTGACCTTACAGCAGACTTGCCCAGGTCAGAAATTGTAGAATTGGAGGGTCATCAGTGGGGTGGTCAGGTTTGTTGGTCAGGGCTAAGAGATTTCCAGGTCTCTTAATCAGTCAGCATTTTACCAGATAGCAAATCTGGAGTGGAAAAGAAGTACAGGTAGTCCTCAACTTATGACCAACATTGAGCCCAACGTTTCTGCTGCTAAGTGAAACATTTGTTAAGTGAGTTTTACAACCTTTCTTGCCACAGTCGTTAAGTGAATCACTGCAGTTAAGTTAGTCACATGGTTGTTAAGTGAATCTAAGGAGAAATTTTCTAACCGATAGAACAATTAACCAGTGGAACCACCTGCCTCCAGAAATTATGAATGCTCCAACACAGGAAGTTTTTAAGAAGGGACTGGACAACCATTTGCTGAAATGGTATAGGGTTTCCTGCCTGAGCAGGGGGTTATAGAACAGAGGTCTCCAATATTTTTGATTTGGCGGGCCAGAAAGGGAGGCAGGCACTGCTACGTGCACGGATGTGCACAAATGGGCCGCATGCTAGCGCATGCATACATGCAAACGGGGCTGCACAGGCACGAGTACTGCAAATGGGGTGGCGCTAATGCTAGCAGGATGCTATGTGCGGCACTAGTGCCGGTGGGACGCTTGGAGTGGGACAGCGCGAGCACCGGCGGGATGCTCAGGGCAGCACTAGTGCTGGTGGGACGCTCGGGGTGGGGTGGCGCTAGTACCGGCGGGATGTTCAGGGTGGCGCTAGCGTGAGTGTGGGGGGGTGAGTGCACGTCTGTGTGCGTGTGCACTGGCCATCCCTTCACACAGCCCGGTAGTGGGCTGCAGCCCACAGGTTGGGGACCCCTGGACTAGAAGACCTCCAAGGTCCCTTCCAACTCTATTATTATTATTATTATTTGCATAATCAAAAGCCTAGTTTTTAAGCTGTGCTTTTTCAGTTGCCCAGTTTAAAATATGTGGACTTTTAGCTTCCAGAATTCTCCAGGCAACCAGCGACCAAAATGGTGGTTGAAAAACACCAGTTTAAAGTAGAGTGATTGGAGATAGATCAGATTTACAGTATTCATATTTAGTATTTCCTGAGGAGTGTTTGGATTTGTGCCACTGCTGAGATTGGATTTTGGAGGGAGGTTTCTTCTGTTCCAGCCACGTGAGGAGATAGAGCAGAGGAGGCTTTGTGGCCAAGGAAAATTGGCCACAAAGAGACCAGGAAGATGTGGAAGTTTCCTCAACTCTATGTTTGCCCTTAAAAAGAAAGGGAGAGGCCTCACCCACCAGCAGCTTCCTGCCTCCTTGCCTAACGCCAATGCCACGTCTCTCTCAGTGCTCCGCACGATCGTGGCGGGTGCCCAAATGGGCCTCCAGTCCTTTTCTTCTGAAACTTCCCTATCGACAATGAACGTGGCTGGGCAGAGGCCATCTTGTTTAAACAGGTAAATATGATTCAACAGATTTTGGGCCCTTCATGGCAGAATTTACATAATACGCTCGACTCTCAACCAAATGAATGAAGCACAGTTGCTACGTCCACAGAAACAGCTAGGCTCAAACAAACAAACCATGTTTAGTCTAGCATATGGCCACAGATTCCTAAGACAATAGCTGAGTCCTACAATCCTTTTAAGTCTCAGACTACACAACTCTGTTTTAGCCTAATCTAAAGGAGGCCCGCCCTACAAGCAATTAATAGCATATATTTGGAGTGCCCAATTTAATTGTTGACTTAAGAGCTAACATACTTTGCGTGGTTTGCTTAACATGGGTTTCCTTGTTTTGGGAGGATGAGAAGAGTCCCTTGTGGCTCGTGATGAGCAAGGTCCGAGAAAGTGTCATGCTCAGTTTGAGTGGCATTGCGCAGTGTGATTTGTGCCCCCAAAATGCATTTCTCTGAATTTTGCTTACAAAGAGAAAACAGCTACAGGTAGTCTTCGACGTACGACCAGAATTTCTGTTGCTATTCAAGACAGTTAAGTGAATTTTGCTCCGTTTTATGACCTTTCTTGACACTGTTGTTAAGTGAATCAGTGCAGTTGTTAAGTTATTAGCATGCTTGTTAAGTGAATCCAGCTTTTCCATTGACTTTACTTGTCAGAAGGTCATAAAAGATGATCACGTGAACCTGGGACACAGCAACCGTCATAAATATGAGCCGGTTGCCAAGCAACCAAATTTTGATCACATGACCGTGGGATGCTGCAAGGGTCATAAGTGTGAAAATGGTCATAAGTCACTTTTTTCAGTGCTGTCATAATTTCGAACGGTCACTAAAAGAAAGGTAAGTCAAGGACTACCTATAAATGAATGGTGTTTTTTACACACACATACACAGATATGTATTGGAAAATATTTGAGGGTTCCCCCCCCCCCCGGGGAGGCAGCCCTGTGGTGGGGACAGCGAGAGTTCCCTCTCAAAATCCCAGCAGAGGCTTTTGGCTGCCAAGACGGGCCTGTTTCTGCTCTGTTTATTCGTTGGTTTCCTTCCGGGGCTTGTGAAGCTTTCCCCCCCCCCCCCCCGTTTTGTAATCAGTGTGGTGGGCGAGGCGGTTTGTGCTTGTCGTAGAGGGAGGCCACAAAGTCTTCTGGGGTTGTTGTCTGTTGAATAAAGCCAGGAAAGGCAGCTGGGCTGGTTGGAGGGCAGGACCCCCGGGGGCAGCTCTGCGGCCTGCTCTGCTTGCTTTCTTGGGTGGAGCAAGGGAGGAACCCCCCCCCCCCCAATTTTTCATCACCTTGGCGATCCTGGAGAAATGCTGGAGAGAAAAATGTACATGGAGTCCTCAACTTAAAACCACAATTGAACTCAAAATTTGTATGGCTAAGTGAGACAGTTGTTAAGTGAGTTTTGCCCCATCTTACGGCCTTACCACAGTTGTTAAATGAATCACTGCAGTTGTCAAGTTAGTAACCTGGTTGTTAAGTGAACCTGGCTTCCCCACTGACTTCGCTTGTCAGAAGGTCGCAAAGAGTGATCACGTGACACCCCCCCAGGGGATGCTGCAACCGTCATAAATATAAGCCAGTTGCCAAGCGTCCGAAATTTGATCGTGACCATGGGGATGCTGCAACGGTCGTAAATATGAAAAACGGTGATAAGTCACTTTTTCAGTGCCATTATAACTTTGAATGGTCACTAAATGAATTTGTTGTAAGTCAAAGACTACCAGTACAACTTTTTCAGCTGGCAAGAGTTAGGGCGGTTTTAACTGGGGATCTTGACCAATCTCTTGCCGATTATTTTTAATATTAGCACGAGGGGCTACATGAAATCAGTGAGGGATAACACCCCGCACTAGGACCAAGGATCGAGCCATTTCTAAGTGAGGGCAAAGTTTAAAATCAGGCAGCCCTCAAGTTATGACTGGTCAGTTAGCGACTGTTTGAAGTCACAACAGACCCTTAGAGAAAATATAAAAACAGGAAATAAAAAACAGAAAAAAAGGAATAAGAGGTTAGGATACAAATGAATAAACAAGGGATTTAGAAATATTATAAAAACTATACTTTGCCACTTGATTGTGAATAATTGAATACATTATTCAGTTATAAATCTGAAAATCAATATTAAGATTTAAGCATTGCATGAATATCAATGTTCAGCATTCTTCTCCCCCTCTTGCAGGTAGAGAGTCCAGTTTTTTGGATCAACCAAATACTTAAGTTGCTGTATGCAACGAAATTTCATTTTAATGTATGCTGATTAGTGACAATAAAGTTGTTATTCTGTTCTATTCTAATACTAGAATATTAACCATAAAATGAAATTGGGAAGTGCAATAAATCTGCCATGCTATTAAAAGTTTATTCTAATTCAAGAAGTCCTATAAAATTAAAACAGATTTAATGCAAGGAAAAACTCAAATTTGTCAGATTTGAGGTTATTCTACACATTGAAGCATAAATTAGTATTCTTCCTTCCATAGAAGGGATCAAACAAAGCTTCCAGTAATGGGGGATATACAGCAGTTAGCACATACAAAGTTAATCCAGTACACTTTGTAGGAATATATGGTGAATTAAGTTTAGTAAAAATAAAATTTACTTTCATTTAAATAAGGCATATAAAAAACAAACCACATTATAACATATAATAAAATATATGGTTAATCAAGTTTAGCTGGCCTACAAGGTCCCTTCCAACTCTGTTATTCTATTCTAATAAACATATTGCAGTTGTAAGGAAAATTCAACTTTTAACATCTGTTTCATTCTAGTATGAATTATTTTCCAGTGATCTTTCAATATCATTGAGCATAACATCATTGCCCTCAGATATGAAAGAATTGTCTTTATATCTCCAATCATTTTTTAAAAACGAACTATACCATTTTAGTTGTCAGGACTGCACCACTAAATCCAAACATGTCAATTTTTTAAGCATAATATTGATGTAAATATTCATTTTAAAGAATATTTTAAATGAAATTCCATTGAAATTCTCTTTTTGTATATCTATTATTGTACCTAAATATTACATCCATTTAATCATGCAATCTTTGATTTGTCC